CATAGTTACAGTATATGCATGTTAAATGTTCAGGTTCATTATTTCAAGCTTTTGAAGATATAATTATGAATACATATATTTCTAAATTAAACAATTTGAAGGATTTCTTTGTGTCTTTCTGTGTTTCTGTCAAAATATTTGTCGAAATTTCGGTCCGTGTTCTCAGTTCTTTCGAAGTACGGTTGTTCTGTGGTTTCGTGGTTTCATGTCATTTAAGTTCCGTTGACTTCCGTTGGTTACGTGAATCCTTGGCTCAGTAAGCTCCCTCGGGCAGTATATTCCTCCTCCCACTTGAATATCTTGGTTTTTGTAATCTTACTCAGACAGAATTTCTCACTCAATTGCATTTCACCGATCATCGTCACGTTTTGACAAATAGTTATCCTAAGAACATATGAATAAAGGACATTGCATAAGGCCTATTGGTCTTAGGAGGCAGCTCAAATTTATATTCACCTGAACTGATTTAAATATATATATATATACATCTCACAAACGCTTTAAAGATTCAAGCGATCCTTTGTCTGATGTTACACAGTAATTTGTTCAACAAATAACTAACCCTGTTTCCAAATCAGTAGCTACTTAGATCTTTCCACAATCCAAACTTCATATATTTATGATATATGAAGTTTGGTGTTCATATATATATATATATATATATATATATATATATATATATATATATATATATATATATATATATATATATATATATATATATATATATATATATATATATATATATATACATATATACACTTATTTATATATATATAAATAAGTGTTCATTTATTTAAGACCCTACTTATATTACGTGTGTTATATCCATTAATCCATTCAGATACTTCAATAATGTTTCCCCCTTAATCTTCACCCTTCTAGTGTAGTTAAATTATACATTTTAATTCTGTCTTTATAAGGACGTCTTCTAATTCCTGGAATTAGCTTTCTTCCTTCTCTGTATGCGTTGAAGTGAAACTGAAATAAGCAATGTGTGACGTTGGTAAGTCCTAGTAAGAGACGGAAGTTGCTATAAAGCGTTATTGCATTCACTTTGAAAACAGCTGAAAGGGCAGAGGTTCAAAATTAATTCCTAATCTCTGTCGGGATTGTATAGGCTGAGGTGTAACCCGCTTCTCGGTGTATATATATTGAGAGTTTACTTTAGTCCTGGACTATGTTCAGGACTAAAGTATATTTGTTAGCTGCTCAGTAATTTTAGTTGCCTTGATAGCCTCCACAAGGTTAGGTAATCCATTGGTTGATAAGCCTCCCCACGTGAATGATTTAGCAATGCAAAGAAAAGTCCTCTTCCCAGAGTGGCTACCCAACAATACATACTTTGTTTATTTCACAGATAAAAGCCTATGAGAACTACACAATTTACAATAAATAAAACATTTTTTTTAACCATAAGGGAAATTCTTGACTTGAGAATAACACAATTTCCCGTTAACGAAATTACACATTTCTGTAATAGGATGAAATCTGTTCAGTTTTTAGGTTATTTCGGTATTTGTCCATTTATACTGTTATGTTTTCTCACTCTTCCTGTTCACCCTACTCTTAGTGTGGACGCTAACTGTACTGGGTTATCATGCTTCAGGACGCTCGTCAGTATTGTGGTTGTCATCATTAGTGTCTGGATGGTTACGTGAGGATTAATGTCAAGTTGCGGTAGTCTGTGTGTATTCACCTGGTTGTACTCACCTAGTTGTGCTTGCGAGGGCTGAGCTCTGCTCTTTCGGCCCGCCTCTCAACGGTCAATCAATCAAATGTTACATACTACTAACTATTTTTTTTTAATGCACGCCCGCTCACACACACACACACACACACACACACACACACACACACACACACACACACACACACACACACACACACACACACACACACACACTTACCACACGGGTGGTACGCGAATAAGGGGACATGTTAAACGTATCAGATGTTATTGTCATGTTTGTACTACCGGAATAACTTGTTTTGTTTTGCTTATGTCAGTGGTAGGAACTGTTATCTGTTGTGTCAGTGGTAGGAACTGTTGACTGTTGTGCCAGTGGTAGGAACTGTTGTCTGTTGTGTCAGTGGTAGGAACTGTTGTCTGTTGTGCCAGTGGTAGAAACTGTTGTCTGTTGTGTCAGTGGTAGGAACTGTTGTCTGTTGTGCCAGTGGTAGGAACTGTTGTCTGTTGTGTCAGTGGTAGGAACTGTTGTCTGTTGTGCCAGTGGTAGGAACTGTTGTCTGTTGTGCCAGTGGTAGGAACTGTTGTCTGTTGTGTCAGTGGTAGGAACTGTTGTCTGTTGTGCCAGTGGTAGGAACTGTTGACTGTTGTGCCAGTGGTAGGAACTGTTGACTGTTGTGCCAGTGGTAGGAACTGTTGTGTGTTGTGCCAGTGGTAGGAACTGTTGTCTGTTGTGCCAGTGGTAGGAACTGTTGTCTGTTGTGCCAGTGGTAGGAACTGTTGTCTGTTGTGCCAGTGGTAGGAACTGTTGTTTGTTGTGCCAGTGGTAGGAACTGTTGTCTCTTGTCTGTTGTGCCAGTGGTAGGAACTGTTATTTGTTGTGCCAGTGGTAGGAACTGTTGTCTCTTGTCTGTTGTGCCAGTGGTAGGAACTGTTGTTTGTTGTGCCAGTGGTAGGAACTGTTGTCTGTTGTGCCAGTGGTAGGAACTGTTGTCTGTTGTGCCAGTGGTAGGAACTGTTGTTTGTTGTGTCAGTGGTAGGAACTGTTGTCTGTTGTGCCAGTGGGAGGAACTGTTGACTGTTGTGCCAGTGGTAGGAACTGTTGTCTGTTGTGCCAGTGGTAGGAACTGTTGTCTCTTGTCTGTTGTGCCAGTGGTAGGAACTGTTGTCTGTTGTGCCAGTGCTAGGAACTGTTGTCTGTTGTGCCAGTGGTAGGAACTGTTGTTTGTTGTGTCAGTGGTAGGAACTGTTGTCTGTTGTGCCAGTGGTAGGAACTGTTGTCTGTTGTGCCAGTGGTAGGAACTGTTGTCTGTTGTGCCAGTGGTAGGAACTGTTGTCTGTTGTGCCAGTGGTAGGAACTGTTGTCTGTTGTGCCAGTGGTAGGAACTGTTGTCTGTTGTGCCAGTGGTAGGAACTGTTGTCTCTTGTCTGTTGTGCCAGTGGTAGGAACTGTTGTCTGTTGTGCCAGTGGTAGGAACTGTTGTCTCTTGTCTGTTGTGCCAGTGGTAGGAACTGTTGTCTGTTGTGCCAGGGGAGGAACTGTTGTCTGTTGTGCCAGTGGGAGGAACTGTTGTCTGTTGTGCCAGTGGTAGGAACTGTTGTCTGTTGTGCCAGTGGTAGGAACTGTTGCCTGTTGTGCCAGTGGTAGGAACTGTTGTCTGTTGTGCCAGTGGTAGGAACTGTTGTCTGTTGTGCCAGTGGTAGGAACTGTGTCTGTTGTGCCAGTGGTAGGAACTGTTGTCTGTTGTGCCAGTGGTAGGAACTGTGTCTGTTGTGCCAGTGGTAGGAACTGTTGACTGTTGTGCCAGTGGTAGGAACTGTTGTCTGTTATGCCAGTGGTAGGAACTGTTGACTGTTGTGCCAGTGGTAGGAACTGTTGTCTGTTGTGCCAGTGGTAGGAACTGTTGACTGTTGTGCCAGTGGTAGGAACTGTTGACTGTTGTGCCAGTGGTAGGAACTGATGGGTCAGGGGAGGAATTCTTGTGACTAGAAATTTCTTATCATTTTCGGGTTGTTGCACAGATCTTGTTTTATTGATTTTTTCCGGGGTGATGCTGCTGCAAGCTGAAGTTTGTGTTCTGCTGAAATAGCAACACCGGAAACTGGATGTTGCCTGGCTTCCGGAATTAGTTGGTGTGTTTCTCGCATTGTGTGTGTGTGTGTGTGTGTGTGTGTGTGTGTGTGTGTGTGTGTGTGTGTGTGTGTGTGTGTGTGTGTGTGTGTGTGTGTGTGTGTGTGTGTGTGTGTGTGTGTGTGTGTGTGTGTGTGTGTGTGTGTGTGTGTGTGTGTGTGTGTGTGTGTGTGTGTGCGTGTGTGTGTGTGTGTGTGTGTGTGTGTGTACTTACCTAGTTGTATTCACCTAGTTGTGCTTTTGGGGATTGAGCTTCGGCTCTTTGGTCCCGCCTCTCAACTGTCAATAAACCGATGTACACATTCCCGAGCCTATTGGGGTCTATTATATCTTCACTAGAAACTGTGTATGTAGTCAACCCAAGCTACAGTCATATCACTGCTTAATGCATTCCATTTCTTAACTACACTGAGACAAAAAAAAAAAAATATATGATTCATCCGGGTACTCATTTTCACCTGTGTCTCCTTGTGCGTGTGCCCCCTGTGTTAATTTGTCATTATCAACCCTCTCAAATACTCCGAGAATCTTGTATGTTGTGATCATGTGTCTAACTCTTCTGTCTTCAAGTGACGTAAGGTTTAGTTCCCGTAGTCTCCTTGTAACTCATTCTCCTCAGCTAGAATACTAGTCTGGTGGCATACCTGTGAACCTTCTCCAATTTAGTCTTGTGCCTAATGGAATACGGACTCGATGCTGGAACTGCATACTCCAGGATTGGTTTAACATATGTGGTAAACAATGTGCTAAACGATTCCTGATACAAGTTTCTTAAGGGCGTTCTTATATTGGCCAACCCTTGTATATCCCGCTGAAGATATCCTCTTAATGTGGATTTCAGGGGACATGTCTGGTATGATATCAACCCCCCAGGTCTTTCTCTCTCTCCGATTCCTAAAAAAATTCATCTCCTAAATCGTTTTTTTTATCTGACCTGCGCTATACACCTATTTTCATTATTTTACATAAATTCTTACATCCATTTGATGGCCCATTCCTTCAATTTGTCCAGGTCATTTTGAAGCCTCATGCAGTGAATATATATATATATATATATATATATATATATATATATATATATATATATATATATAATATTAATATTTATTTTATAATAATAATAATAATATGTGTGGTTGAGAATTCGAAACCTCAATTAATACGGTTTGGTTCTTATAGGCCCGTCCGTTGCTGACGGAGAAGGAGCGGTGTCTGGTGCGTCGTAACTCAAGCCTCAACACCCAGCTCTCTCGCCTCCAGATACACTGCAAGACTCTCAGCTCTGAGAACAGCACCCTGGTGAGTACACCATCCACTCTCTATCCTCTCGAGTGTCTGAAGCACCTCACTCCATAACTGTGAGTGTCTCCAGCCCTTACTCCAACTTCCTTTCCTTTAAGAATGTCATATACGATCAGTATCCATTCCTTGCTCCTAAGTAACTAAGTGGCTGTATCACACCTGTATTAGTGAATTCATTATTAAATCTTCCAACATCAATTCCTCCGGTGATTATACAAATATCGGATGTGTTCCCATTACCAGCCATATTATGTCGCATATTGCTAACACTATCCCTAATACCCCTTCACAAAAATAAATGCCTGGCCTGTTCGCTCTGCCTCTGGCAAAGAAGGCTCTGTTCATATATTAAATCAATAAATCCCCGACGACCAAACCTTTCTTGCTTTTTTCTGGCGTTTATTTCGTCGTGTTTACCTATCGGGTGAACTACCCTACAGTAAAATGCTCCAAAGCAGAGGATGCACTGTTGGTCCTCACTAAAGATATGATAAGCCTCGTCACAATTGTCTTAGGAAGCGCTCGAATGAAAGAAACTCCTCAGTCTGCTCTCTCACTTAGCTTCCTCCTGTGGACCCAATGCTGCATCTGACTGAGCGTTTCAGGCAGAGTCAACCCCGCCTCTCAGAGCACCAGACAGTTCCACTATGTCTCATAACAATTTCCATTATGAATCAATCAAAAACCCAATTTGTTTTAAACTGACGTCCTATAATTACGGCTCCTCGTGGCCATCCATGTCTCATTTTTACCTCTCACTTTATCTCAGCCATAAACCATCCTAACTCTCGTCCACCTATACGTCTCATTCTTCCACGTCCCCCGCCCAGTAACAACAAACATGCTCCTGCTAACTCGTCTCTGAATCCTGCAGAAAAATAAGATGGAAGTGGAGCTGGAGCGGCCGCTGGAGCTGAAGGAGAAGGACCGTCATCGCCAGCGTGAGATGCAGCTGCTGAAGAAGAAGAACACCGAGCTCGCCTCCATCACTAGGAAGCTGGAGGAGAAGGTCAAGAGCTTAGAGAAGGTACACAATAGCAGGTTGTTGCTGCAAGGTTCATGGGCAGTTCTGTATACCAGCAATTCCCAAGTTTTTACCTGAATTATTAAAAAATAACAAAAATAAGTTAATAGGGATATAAAGAAAGCATAGGTTTGGAAATAGGGTTGTAGATGAGTGAAATGGGCTTCCAGCTGGCATTATCGTGACAAAGGGTTTTAAGAAATTTCAAAAAGAGATTCGACATATGCATGGGTGAGAAAGGGGTATTAAAATAGATCCGCCTAATCTCGGCCAGCAGGCCTGCAGCAGTGTTCACTAATTCTTGTGTTCTTATGTACTGGAACACGAGCGTGAGCACCTGCATACACAAGGTCACAAGTACACATGCGCACACATGCGCAGATGCACGCACCCAAAAAGAAACAATTATTAGAATTCTGCAATTACATAATTTCGAGGTTACATAGTTGCCGAAAAATCTACTTTCTGGTATATTTTATAAATTTATCAATGGACAGTGTATTCTTGACCAGTTTTCTATTTATTTAAAAATCGGAGAGGATTACCTGTTCAACTATTCTCATTGGGAAGTTGTGTACTAAAAGTGTCATGATCTTATCCTGGATAAAATTCAAAACTTTGTTGAATCACCTCACTTGTAATTGTACTCAACCACCTAGGCTGGACGGTCTAGCTTCATGCAGGACGGCGTTCAATCCCCAACCGTCTGAGTGGTTGAGCATCATTCCTTCCCCCCTGTCCTATCTCAAATCCTTATCCTGATCCCTTCCAAATGTTATAGAGTCATAATGGATTGCTGCTTTCTCCTGATAATTCCCTTCGTCAGTCATTGTTTTAATTCTCTGATTATATGTTAATATTCTTTATTTTATACACACTCTCTCATTAAGTTTGTGGATATGAATAAACAAGAATGTGCTCAAATATTCCCATATGCATTATCCCTCGGTGAAGTGAAACTGTACTGCTTAAAATACAGTCACCATAGTTTACTAGTCATAACTCACCCCATCTTACTCAGAAAACAAAGGAGTCGCCAGCTACGGAGCGCAGGAACTTGATGCAGGCCCGGCAGAGGGAGAAGGAAGCACTCTACGAGAAACAACTGCTAGAACGAGACAGGGAGATCCAGAGACTCAAGCTGCGCATGCGCGAACTCGTCAGGAAGCTCACCGGCAAGAACGGCGAGGTGAGCAAGATTTAGTGACTTACTGATGATATAAGAGACGTGAGAGTCGAAGCCAATCTAATTTTGAGTGAATTTGGTTATATAACAAAAATATATAAACGTCAATGTGTCGGCTTGTATGGCTGTGAACTGAATTATGGAACCTAAGAAATGCAGACCTTGTTAACCCGGATTATGAATGGAGTAAATGTTTATAATATGTTTTAGGAGTTCATCCTCGAACCCACTGTTATCTCCTTCATGTTAGTCCTAAATAACTCCTATTTACTCGTTTTCTTTGATGACTAAAGCTGCGACGTTTTCTTTGAATTCGTCAGCTTCAGAAAACAATATCGTGCAGCTTCAAAACTCGTCTATTCAATTGATTAACAGTCTTAAATCAGCTCTCAGAACTTTCCTAACAGACTTTTTGTGATCATAAAATTAAAAACGTTTATTTATTCTCAAGTATATATTTAGGTACATAAAATTGCAACCCATCTTCAAGCTATGCTGGTCCAAGAAAGAGTCCTTTAACCAATTACTTGGATTATAGAAAATTTTGGTAAATCAGTTATCAAACCATTATTAAAACTTTGGCCTTGAGCACTGTAATCATAATCCATCTTCCACTAATAAGTCGGCTGATAGGAACAGGCACTTATATTTATATCAAGTGTGAAACAATGCACGAATTGTTCCGAAGTTAGAAATCACTTAGAAACTGTAACACGAACGGGGTTCGAACCTGCATTACCAGAGCTCATCTCATGGTGCACGCAATACTATAACCACCTCACCCGCGATTATCTCGCTGCTGAAGTTGTATTAGTACTGTGCACGCCGTGAGGGTGAGGACATGTCGTTCTGGGCAACTAAATCTAAAACAACAACATAGAGGAGAGCCCTGATAATGTAGGTTCGAACCCTGGTCGGGTTATATAGCTCTTAAATGTTATACTATAAGAGAGAATGTCTGTCATGTGTCTTTCTGTTTTCAAAGCAGGAGGCCAGACGCTTGACCTCCGTCGTCTCCAGGCTCCGTCTGTCCAGGTCCCCAAACCCCCTGCCCCCTCCTGTCACAGCCCTCCCCCGCCCCCTCCTATCACAGCCCTCTCCCGTCTCCACACACAGCCCTCCCCCGTCTCCACACACCGCCCTCCCCCGTCTCCACACACAGCCCTCCCCCGTCTCCACACACCACCCTCCCCCGGTTGCCATTAGGACTCAGATCTGTCTTCTGTTACACAAATGGTATGGACCGAGAGCTGAACACATTAACAGACTTTTTGAAGGAAGGGCATAAGGCCGACCCCGACTTCCACGTCAATCCCAATAAAATCACCATTTATCCTGACACGTTCAGTGACGCTAGTACCAAGCGTCTTGCCTCCAGCCTCGAATAGACAGACATTCTCTCCTATAGATATAAATTAGTGATATTATTGAAGAGAGAGAGAGAGGGGGGGAGGGGAAGGCAGACAGGCAGACCTGGACTGAAATTGACTGAATCACGTTTCGTATTATAGCTTCGAACGTAGCAAAGTGCAAAATCAGACATTCGCGTCAATACGACAGTACATAAATACACTGTGAACTCAGCAGCTGTTTGTTTTAATGGTCTTGTACATATATCTACTTACTATTATTTCCTTAAAAAGTTTCCAAGTATAAATGTCACCTACCATGTATAAACGCCTACCCAAGTATAATATGAACCCTCTTATATATATATATATATATATATATATATATATATATATATATATATATATATATATATATATATATATATATATATATATATATATATTGATGACTATGTTGATTTTATGATTACAAAGACACTATACCGTACAATACATCAGACTGTGTCCTCATCCATGTATCCTACCGTGATCCTACCACGTCTGAGACGCTCTCTTCTATCATATATGTCTCTACCTCCTTCCAAACGCATTATTTCTTGTTCTAATATATTCTGTCGGGTCTTAGCGCATTCTCTGCATCTGCAATGTCCTGAAGCATCATTATTCAAACGTGTACTACTGTTTCCTAACATATTCTACAGTGTCTTAAAAGTTATCTGCCATCTCTTCAGATAACGCGAGCACAGAGCACCTTGGAACTGGAGCAGATCATACGCACCGTCACAAAGGAGCGACTGCAGCTCGAAAGACACCTGGCTGCCGCCAGTGAGGTGAGTACCCAAGATCACGTGTTTATGGCATGTATACACGGACACATTCGTACACGCACAGTCTTGGCTTTGCTGAATATCTCTATCCTCCCCTGTCCAGTTGACATGTTCTTAACGCAGCTTTTTTCAAAGCTATTTTATGTATTTCGTCTTTAACTGCGAGTCTATCTGCTGCTGCTGGTGCGATCTTCAATGTAGGACCTTTGGATAGTTACTTATATGTTACCATGCAAGACATACACGCGCGTATCCCCGTCTGACGGACATGGCCACATTGGCTATTCAATGCTCACACTCTCAGCTCAGCTATGTATTTAAATTAATATTTCCAGTTTAATGAATTATGAATCCAGGTTTGGTTTTGAGAGAGTATAGGTCATGTGGGTTTAGTTTTCAGTAACAGCAACGATTCTTGTCTTTGAGAGAGATTTTCCTTTCAATACTTACCATCAGTTCATTATATTCCATGGTAACGATTTTCTAGTGTTTTAGGTGGTGATAAGATAACAAAAGATAATAAGAGGAGCCATGTTGGATCCCAGGTATACACTTCCGTATTGTTTTGTTTCACAATCCTCATTTTTTATTCTATTAGACTCTTTATTATACAAAAATGAATAGTTACAAAATGTATTGGTTATACAATTTCCGTGCTTGAAGGTGAAATCAACGAGGTCGAATGATTTGGCGGGTTACTACTACGACATCCACCATTTACACTGCAATACCATAGGTAGCCCCTAGAATAGCATCAATATTTCCGTGAATTAATACTTTGACATGTCACAGGCAAGGAAAGACGCTAAAAACAATAAACAAAAATCCCCCTCTAGATGCTACTCGCCTAGTGTTGTAGTGTCCCGCAATGCACCATGTGACTCTTGGCTACTCAGTGATCCCATTTGTTAAGTGCCAACCCCACTGTCTCCAGTCAGTATTTATTAACCCTGATAGTCGAGCCTCGTGTTGGTTTATATTTTATTGTCGCCCGAAAAGAATAATATGCAGCTCGTATATTATCCTAATTGTTACTTTGCGTCTCCAGCATGTTCATCTGTTGTTGGTGTCTGACCATCTGTAGAAATGCTAATATACTTTACGCCGTATTAATACTGCGTAATATCATGGTTTGTGATAAAACTTTATATTGACGCAAATTAGAACATTAACTGCTATTAAAGTAAGCAACAATACACATCAAACAATAGTAAAATTCTTATTTTTGTACAGTTATTTATCTAAATATTTAGAACACTGGCCTATTTTTGTATTAATTTTGGTGTACAAATTTTTCACTCTCGTAAAGACAAAGACACGCTCAACGCTTCCGGAAAACATAAATGAAACAGTGGAAGTCAAACCGTCGAGGCTAGACCTGCATTACAGATTAAACTACCCTCTGGAAAATCTCGAGAAGAATAACCGGAAATCACATCTGCTTATTCTTCGGAAAACGGAAACCAAACCTTGTCTAGCCACTTGCTAGACATAGTTTGGTTGAATTTTGGTGAAGGCAAACTCGTGAACTATGAGACATGTTGATTAGTGGCCTTCTGAGACGAGATGGCATCAGTCAAAGTAATGTTATTCAATACTATATAGTTTATGTTTTAATGTTTATGTTGAAATGTAATGCATTGCTCATAAATTTGTATAACTTTTCATACGAGTTCTTAATTATTTCATTTATTCCAAGTAATGTGAAATCTCTGCGTGTTGAGTTCGTACTGACAAGGCGGCAGTGCTCAGAATGCGAGTCATGGCGTCACGCGTAACAAGGCAAAATACGTACAGGAAAATAATTAATGATACTTACTATATATGACAGCACTACCATACCTCCCGAAGCCACTAGTGTCTCACCACCACCAGCACTGCGATATCATCATCACTACCACTATCACACTACCACTGTCATCACACTCTCCAACATTCTTTATAACATTTCTAGTTTGATTTCCACTACTACGATCAACGCTGCAATAGCCACTAATGCCATTACTACCACTATAACTATCACAAACAGCAAAGACTACCACCGTATCTTCCTCACCAACGCTGAGAACAACGACTACCTCTATTTAACTAATATCAAAACCCTGTCTCCCGCACTAATAACAAAAGCAACAATCACATTTAAATCAACACCACTAATCTCATGAACAGACATAATACCATACTAACTTCATCAGCACCACTACAACTAGCACCTACATTATCATCATCCACGATCACTACCACTACCAACACCGCCACCACTACACCAAGCGTCTACATACGACTACCATCATTACTATCACCACCACCACCACCACCACTTCTTGAACCTAGTAACATAACGAAATCAACGAAAATATTAATTAACAAGTAAGGGGCTATGCAAAAATATATAAGGATGTGAAGGAAAAGAAGCAAAGACATGATAAGATACGAGACCTCAAGCAGAGGAAGCTCAATTAGATAGGAATTTCAACATACAGAAGAGAGGAAAGAAAGGTAGAATGAGGTCATTGAATACCTAAAGATTAAACTTGCCAGGAGTTTCAACGAATCTTGAAGCAAGTAAAGAAACCGAAATAATTCTCAAATGGGAGGAAAATATGATTGGGTTACAGAACAGAATGATCACAGTGGAAGATTAATTGGCAACAAAGAAAGAAGGGCGTTAGAGAAGAGAATGAAACAGGCAAAGAATGTGAGAAATGAGGGAACAAGATAAGATAAAACACGTGGTGGCGTAGTAAAAGACTCAGAAGTATATTATTAAGTCAGCAGTGATCGAGGCTTTACAATTGCAACAGTTCGTGAGATGCACAAAACAGGAATTATCGAGAAAAAATATAAATGGTAATTTACAATCTACCTGAACCACTCAGTAATCACATAGCAAAAGAGGGAGCGACTAAAAGGTGGTTACAAAAATCTCCACAAAATTCGGATTTGAAAGGTAATCATGTAAATATAATATTAATGCACGGAAGAGAGGTTTCCGAATAATAGGTCTCGAGCAGTGAGTTATAATTAAGACAAATACTCCGGCATAATACATATTGGCCGGAAAAAAGTATTTAAAGGATAAGGGAAAGACCATAAAATAATAATATACCTTAGCTAATATATGTCAGAGGAGGATTGGAATGTATCAAAGGAAATCCAGAAATATAAAAAAGTTAAACTTCTAGGCAACCTGAAAATCGTAAAGTGTACGAGAACCAGCAAGCAATCCAGCAGACAGAGGGCAACACAGCTAAATAGTGGAGAAGGCCAGATCAAGGAAGCACCAATAGATCGACATAGACCCTTCTCTTTATCAGGACTTGACATAGAATATCCGGAGCCGCTACATCTCGGGCAAAACACAAGCAGCCAAGGAGAGATGAGTAGAATTAAAGTTACGCACATATTTAAAAATGGATTAAAAATAAAAGGAAAGTTACAGGAAAATGTTTCAAGCAACCACACATCATCACCATTATGGAAACGAGGAAATCTAGTAAAAGGAAAGACTGGGATTCGAGCTCAAGATTGAACAATATGAAGCCGTCAATCGACCTTGACTCACAATTTTTAAGGGTCTCCAAAAGTAGCTAACTACGTCTCGAAAGGGGAATTTAAACCTTCCCCTGTCGTGTGTGTGTGTGTGTGTGCTCACCTATTTGTGCTTGCGGGGGTTGAGCTTTGGCTCTTTGGTCCCGCCTCTCAACTGTCAATCAACTGGTGTACAGATTCCTGAGCCTCCTGGGCTCTATCATATCTACATTTGAAACTGTGTATGGAGTCAGCCTTAACCACATCACTGCCTAATGCATTCCATCCGTTAATTACTCTGACTCTGAAAAAGTTCCTTCTAACGTCCCTGTGGCTCATGTGGGTACTCAGTTTCCACCTGTGTCCCCTTGTTCGCGTACCACCAGTGTTGAATAGTTTATCCTTGTTTACCCGGTCGATTCCCCTGAGGATTTTGTAGGTTGTGATCATGTCTCCCCTTACTCTTCTGTCTTCCAGTGTCGTAAGGTGCATTTCCCGCAGCCTTTCCTCGTAACTCATGCCTCTTAGTTCTGGGTCTAGTCTAGTGGCATACCTTTGAACTTTTTTGCAGCTTCGTCTTGTGCTTGACAAGGTACAGGCTCCATGCTGGGGCCGCATACTCCAGGATTGGTCTTACATATGTGGTGTACAAGATTCTGAATGATTCCTTACACAGGTTTCTGAACGCTGTTCTGATGTTAGCCAGCCTCGCATATGCCTCAGACGTTATTCTTTTTATGTGGGCTTCAGGAGACAGTTTTGGTGTGATATCAACTCCTAGATCTTTCTCTCTGTCCGTTTCATTAAGTACTTCATCACCTATTCTGTATCCTGTGTCTGGCCTCCTGCTTCCACTGCCTAGTTTCATTACTTTGCATTTGCTTGGTTTGAACTTCAACAGCCATTTGTTGGACTATTCACTCACTCTGTCCAGGTCATCTTGTAGCCTCTTACTATCATCATCTGTTTCAATTATTCTCATATTTTTTGCATCATCAGCAAACATTGAGAGAAACGATTCTATACCCTCAGGGAGATCATTTACATATATCAGAAACAGTATAGGTCCAAGGACTGACCCCTGCGGGACTCCACTTGTAACGTCTCACCAATCTGAGACCTCACCCCTCACACTGACTCGTTGAGTGTGAGGGGTGAGGTACTCACACTCGTTGAGTGTGAGTACACCCCACACACACACACACACACACACTGTGTGTGTGTGTGTGTGTGTGTGTGTGTGTGAGACAGCGCGCATGTGCGTGCGTGCGTGCGTGCGTGCGTGCATGCTGGTGGTGGCCAGGCCCATACTGCGACAAAACGCTTCTGACGCCGACGGTAGCATTGAATAATACACAAAAGATGGTAGCAGTGACTCGCAGTGTTGCTTTATCTTGACCCTTGTACGATGCAGTCATGGCTGCTTGCTACATATGGTAATGCAACATTTACATTATCAAACACACAACTAC